AGTTTCCGTAAGCATGTCCTTCAGAGTCTATAACGCCCACTTCTGAAGGTAGTTGTGTTAGTTTTCTATTCCTACATAACAAATTACCACCATTTAGTGGCTTAAAACAGCACCCATTTATTATCTCACAGTTTCTGTAGGTAAGGAGGCTGAGTGTGACACAGCTGGGTTCTCTGCTCAAGGTCTCACAAGGTTGCTATCAGGGTGTTGGCAGGAACACGGGCTCATCTGGAGTGCAAGGTGCTCTTCCAAGCTTATTCAGGTTGTTGGCAGAATTCAGTTTCTTGTAGGACTGAAGCCCCTGAGTCCTTGCTGTCTATTAGTGGGGAATCACTCTCAGCTCTAGAGGCTGCTCTCAGGTCTTAGCCACGTGGCCCTCCTCCATAGGCAGTTCACAACATGTTTGTTTGCTTTCTTCCAAACCAGCAGAAGAAGGATTCCAACATTTGACCTTCTTTTAAAGGGGTCACCTGATTAGATCAGGCCCACCCAGGATAATCTCCCTTTTGATTAACTGAAAGCCAACTGATTGGTGATCTAATCACTGGGTTGATATCCTGTCGTGTTCACTGTTCCCAACCACACTGAAGGGGAGGGAATTACACAGGACATGTACACCAGGGGTGAGAATTTGGGGGGCATCTTAGAATTCTGACAATCATGGTGGCCAACACGTGATAAAAAGACACAAGAAAAATGCATTGCTGTATGGACTGCTCTTACTACTCTCTTTAAATAGTTTCCCTGAAAATACTATTAATTAAAATGTGTAAGCTTCCATTTATGATGAATTACACTGATTCTGTGGCTGCCTGCACCCTCAATTTCATAGCAGGAGGAAGCATCTGTCCGAAGAGGCATTTTGATCTTCAAATACCAAAATAACAGAGGTCTCTAATGCCTTCATGCAGCAAATCCAGACCCCTCAGTGTTTTGTATTCCAGACCCCTCAGTGTTTTGTATTCCAGACCCCTCAGTGTTTTGTATTGTGGCACTACCAGATTGCTGGAATTATACTCATTACACCCAATGCATATGAGACCACGGGATTGTAAATGGAATAGAGGGCATCATCTTAGGACGAGGTCAAAAAGTCAGGCTCTGAACCTAGCAAAATCGACACACAGTACAACCACGAGTGACAGCATCTGGAGCTCAGCCTGCAGTGGTGTTTTTGAGAGCGTTTACTTCAGAAACTAAGGCATCAAAAACCAAACCTACAAAATATGAATATAACATAAAATAAGCTGCAATCATGGCAATCATAGTCCTGTCATGAGGTAACGCTATAACGACAGAACAGTTTGGATACTGATAAGAACTGCTGAGGAAGAAGTCATTGAAAGTTAGAAATTTTTTATTCTGCCTAGAGCACTACCTAAAGATGATGAAGGTCCAAATTATTGCCTTAAAAAAAAAATCTACACCTTAGTGGTTCCATCCCCAATAGGAGGAGAATCACCAGAGCTTTAATGACTATTCTCTCAAAACGTTCAATTCCGTTCATTAGCAATAGGCACTAACATTTATATGGTACTTTCAAAAAGAAGATTTCATTGTTTCATAGACATACTTTTATTTATTCTAACCTTAAAGTCTCAAAACAACCTTCTCGTTATGGTTTGTTTTGTGAAATAGATTGTCCTAATCAGAAATTTTATTTAACTCATTAATTAGTAAGGGAAACAGTAGATGTTACAACTGGTTTGAAGAAGAACTCCAAGTACCACACATTTATAGTCATATAAGGAAAGCTGACACAAATTTACAAATGTGCACGGTAACTCTTAGATGAACTGAATAAATACTATTTTTGAGTTGCGAAACAAAACCTGAACTTCCTTGTATTCTACCAAACTATAACCAATTTGTGAGACCCATACAGAAAGAACCTGGTGAATTATTTAACACTAACATTAATGGGGACCATTGTGGGATCAAATCAGCCATGTCAATGGGCTGGAGGTGAGGGGGAATTACAAAACTAAACTATCTCTATCAGTCTAGTTTTGCCAGTTCGGGGGTCCCACGAAGATTAAGGGTTAGATTTATCTGTTTATTATTTGTTATGAAAACTAAGAACTTCATTTTAACTTTCCGAGCTCGTCCTATCATAGACCCAAATCAGTGTATCTTTTTACCCCACCTTTCCTTTCCTAAAGACAGCCTTCCTGTTCCAGATTTGCGAACAGAAGGGGACACTGTGGGAACATCTTGATAATTGAGACCTCGTTAGTCTAATTACTGATATCACACCCCTGCTTCACCTTCACCCTCCCCCATTTCTTGGAGAAGCATCTGGTAAATGTCAGCAGTTAGGATGTGTCAGACAGAATCCAGAACCGCATCGCTCAGTTTGTTGGGAGGCAGCCAGAGAGGAGGAGAGGAAGAAAAATATTTCTTTCAAATTCTCTTTTCAGTTGTTGTCTTGATTGTTTAACAAAGACAGAGAAGAGTCCAGCAATAATCTAAAGACAGGATATTTGTGTGCCTATGTGACTATGTGTGAGCATAGTGTGTGTGTGTGTGTGTGTGAGAGAGAGAGAGAGACAGAGACAGAGACAGAGACAGAGACAGAGAGAGAGAGAAAGATTGATTTTAGTCAGGCAAGGTAAGGGTATACACATATTCGGGAAAAAGCATGACATCATTGGCCTGATTTACATGCCCATAAATGAGTTAATGATTGAATGGCTGTTTAAATAGGGTGGAGAGGGGAACACATGTAAAACAGCATACCACTTATGCCCTGAAGGATCAGAGAGTAAAATTTAGCTACTGAACTAGATTCCAGTCATCTCTACATCTGACTATTTGGGAATGATATCTACTACTAGCTGGTGATGGTAAAATTACATATAATATCTATTAAATGCAAAGGTCATATAAAAGCAACAACTTCTCTCATCTCCACTAAGTGTTTCACTCGGTTTCTTTATATGTGGAATTGGGCTACCACTAACAAACAGTAAAGCAAGAATTCTTTCTTTCAGCCCCTCATAGGAATGGCTATTTCAATGATGCAATCAACATTTTAGTATCCTTGGAGATTTAAATCATTTGAGGAAGAAGGATCTGTTTGTCCAAACACCAACACTTTATTCTGTAAATAATGACGTCATCTGCAATCACTAATATGCGTGTTCAGTACATAGAATAGTGGTTCTCAACTTGAGGTGCCCCTAGAAGCACATAATTCCATTTCAGATCTACTACGTCAGAATACCCAGGGAAAAGGCCCATGTTAAAAACCCCAGAGCTGATTCTCATCTCTGCCGGGCTTCAGGAACCACTTTAGAGCAAATATGGCACCCTCCAAGCTGCCGCACCTGTAATATCGGTATCCTTAGCTACGGATATGCACTATTGGATGATACATAAAAGGGAAGGAAATATTTTTTGGAAAAATAAGTAATAATTAAAACACAAATCATTTAATAACTCCATTATCAGATAGAAACAAAGACCAAGGAAAGGAATATAAACAACTAAGTACGCATTAGCTGCCCTCTGTCTAAGCTGTTACTTTCGACTGCCACTGACCCCTATTTCTCTTCACCAGACTGAGCACACAGCACTCTGCCATCTCAATGAGGGCAGGGACTTTGCCTCAGGCTTTGCTATGTCTTCATAGTTTAAAACAGTCTTGAACATAGGGTATGGACTTAATAAATATTTGTTGAAGGAAAGAATTGTGTTCTCAGAGTTAGAAATCATTTGGGGATGCAACTGTTCTGCCTTAGACATGACTCTTTGATTTTTACGTCTTGGGGATTTTTTTTCCCAAGTAAAAGTTGCACTATTCTAATGGATGATTGGAGCACAAATACCTTTCAAGCCTCGCTTACTCTTCCCTGTAGCCAGGGTCACCTATGAGCTGTTCTATTCCATAATGTCCATTCCTCTGCCTCTCAAGGCCGGTACCCCTCTAGGTTCCCTAAAGGGAGAAACTTTCCATCAAACTGATATTCTCTGCTCCAAGATCTGAATTCTGTTTTCAGGGGCGAATAACAAAAAGAAAAAAGTAAATGAAGATGGTTAAATGCACCTTGTTCCCACTACCCTCCCCCAAGCATACCTCTTTAAAATATTCTTTTCCCCATAGAAAGAGGTTACTTTTGGCCATGAAATCACCCACTTTCCTCTTCCAACTGTAGCAGACATTAACAAAAGCAGAGCTTTTGCTTACTTCTCTGGTTTCTATAATTTACCGTTTGGCTCATGTCTTTGGTTGAAACGGCTCTGAATTATTAAAGAGAACAACGTGTTTTCCTTTCTCTGAACATCTTACAGCATTTAATAAAACAAATTTACTCATTCACTTAGAGATATTTATTGGACGCCTACTATGCTCCAGGCATTGGGGATATAAGTTGAAGTAGACACAGACAGTCTCTGGATGCTTTCTAGAGGAAGAGACGTAGAAGCGAATCAATGATTAACCATGTGAAAACTACCCTGGTTGAAATATAGGTATAGTTCTGTGGGAGTACAGAAGAGGGATCTCGAAATATAACCAAACTCTACAGAGAGACTGCTTATTGGAAGTAATACTTGAACTGAGGTTTTGTAGACACGAAAGGGCTCCGTAATAAGTATGTGTGTGTTGGAGGGAAGTAAGATGCTCTTAAGGCAAATAGAACTACAATATTAGGTATCAAAGTGTGAAATATAGTGAGACTTATTTGGGAAACTCGAGTCTGGTACAGCTGGAAAGTGTGGAGGGAGATTAGATGAGCAAGAGCAGCAAGATGGAGAACGTATGGCAATTCAACAGAAATAAACTGATCAGTTCAGAAATAGGCTCAAATATAATTTGGTATATGATAAAAATGTTATTTCAAATATGAAAAAATAATTGATTCTTCAGTAGTAGCTTAGGCAACTGGCTATTTATTGGGGCAAAAAAGAAAATAAAACTATAGCTCCAGCTCTCTTCTAATATCAAATAAAATCCTAGGTGACTCAAAATGAAAAATCAAATCATGAGGGCTTTAGAAGAAAATATAGGTAATGAATTTCTTACTAGAGGTTGAGAATAATATTTTCTAGAACATGACACCAAAAGTAAGAAAATTGTTAAAAATTCTTCTTAGTTTTAAAAGAAGAACAAGAAATTTTGCACGTCATAAAACAGCTTAAGACGTTTAAAGTACAACTGATAAAATGCGTGTATATGTCTGCAACATATTTTAATAGTAATAATATTGGTAGCTGCTATTATTTTGTTAATTGCCAAGCAATCTTCTAGCATTTATATCCACCGTTTAGTTTAACCTTCTCAACAACTCTCTACTCCTATTTTACGAAAAAAGGAACTATAAAGCTCAGCGATCTTGCTCAAAGTCTCAGAGGTGGTAATTCTAGGGACTGGAGTTTGCACTAACCTGGTATTAATTCCAAAGTCGGTGTGCTTAACAATTATAATACTGACTTGTAAGAACATAACTATCCATTTATAAATGGATTATAAAATATATAATTATAAAAATTATATATATTTATATATATATAAAATATATAATTATAAAAATTCATACAGATCAATGAGGACCAAAAAAGAATGTCCCATGGGAAAGGAAAATGAGTGAAATATAAGAGCAAACAACACCTACTCACTCACTCCCTTCCCCCAATGCCTTTATCACTCACATATTATCATACACACACAAATCGGCACTAAATCGTAAAAAAAAATAAAATAAAATAAAAAAATTCACTAGTAATCTGAAACCAAAATTTAAAAAATTGAAACACAAGATATTACTTTTCATCCATCAGAATGACAAAGATTAAGAAGATTAACTATATCTATTTAAAGATGATGTGAAGGAAATATGCTCTCTGGTACTTTTAGTGGGAGTATAAATATGTATAAATTTTGGACAGTATTTTGGAAAGATGTATCAAACAAAGGTTTAGTTGTGCATATCCTTTGACTCAACAGTCACATCCAGGAGTATTTCCTAAACTAATGATCAGATAAGCATGCAAATATACAAGATGAAATACAGAGAATTCATGTGTTATTTACAATATTACAACGACTAGAAACAATTGAATGTCCATTATTATGAGATTGGTTAAATATAGTGCAGCCATATATCCTGGTATTCCTAGGACAGTTCCAGTGTGTGGCTGGTGTCCTATCATGATTAGAAATAGTGCCCCTTTTTAATCTCAAGTTTTCCCATTTGTAAATTAAATTATAAGATCATTCTGCTTAAGTATTTTTTTTAACCAATACATTTCTCTATAGTGATTGGAAATGAGGATATTAACCTGTATCATCTGACATTAAATGTCATATGTAACATAATACTGAGTAAAAAAGGCAGTATATAAAATAGGTTATGAAATATAACTACTACACTTATTTAAATATCTGTATTTGTATGCACACTCATCTATTTACTAATGCAATAAATTAATAACTGATTGTTGGTTTCAAGCATATTTTATTTTACTCTTTATATTTCTAGGTTTTAAACTTTTAGAGTAAACATGCATTGTAATAAAATGAAGCTAACTTCTTTCGGGAAGAAAAGCAGGTCGTGAACGTATAGATATCTGGTAAACGAGATAATATAGAAGAAAATAACAAGTTAACCAAATTGCTTTTGTGCTCATTAGATATTTAAGTAAATGCTGCAAGTTAAAATATCAGTATTAACATCAAAGATCTATATTCTATGAAACATACAAGGGCTTCTAATATTCAATAAATGTTAGTCTCTTACTAATATTTAATAAAGAGATGATAGATAGGTGATGGTTCAAGAACTAATGTTACTAAGAATTTCATCAAGGAACAATTTGATCATTTTCTTGGAGCTTTTATTTTTGGCATTTTATAGGCCAGTCTTAAGCCAATTACTAAGTACTACATACTATATAAACTGCTACTCTATCAACTAATACTGCTTTAAACTATCACTGGCTTCTGCCATTTAGCTACATAATAATTGAGAAGGGCAGTAGCCTTAAGGGAAAGAGATAGTGAGACAACAAGAATGTTTTCAGATCTGTCTGAACTGCCATATTCCTTTGTCCTGTACCTACTGTCAGTGCTGAAAGTTGGGGTTGAATTTCCTTTTTGCATTGGATGTCTAATTGTTACTTTTTCCCTTTGTTCGTATACTAGATTTTTTTTTCATTTATCCTATAGAAAGTAGATGAGAGCAAGTGTTAATGTGGAGTAATATCAGGGCTCTGGCTTTGCCTGTCTTTTATTACAATTGTTCTTATTTTAGTTTGTTTGCCTGCCAAGTTTTACTTGGAAAAAGCCTCATTCTTTTTCCAAGTAAAGGAGAGCTGTAAAAGTCACCAGTTCTGCAAAATCAGAAACATTTTGGTGCTCTATAAAACAACTGTCTTTAATTAATAAGTCTTAGTTTGAAAATTTGATACTCAAGTCTATTAATTACAAACAAAAGAAATAAAGTCCTTAGGTACTTTGACGGTATATAGGATATACTGTTCCTGTAAGGTCTGTATTGATTTTTAAATTTAAGTGAGGAAAGGTCTTAGTTTGCAATAATCTAAAATTCTCATGTTAATGTGTAAGCATATATCAAAATTACTTTCAAAACTAAATATAAACAATTAAATTGAGACATTCATCTCATAGCGATAAATACATATTTAGATTATTTGATATCTTTCTAACAGCCTAATATGATACTAAACGGTATTTTTCAATCTATTTTCCCTTTTGATGCCAGAATTTAATGTTCTGATCTTTCATTTATACTGAAACAGAAAACCTCAGTGAGATAGTCATGTCCATCTTTTATATCCATACTCGCTTTAAAATTTTATGTTTCTGTGGTTCTATTGCAAAATGGTTCTGTTGCTGCATATGGTCCTTTGCTCAAGGCAAAGTGGGAAAAAAGCTTGCCTTGTGATTTTTATCCCCCTTAAGTGCCTAGCTGGTGTATGGTAGACATGCAAATGCTTGTCCATGATGTTTCAAGCAAGATAAATGAGTAGCTATCATGGGTGTTGCATGACTGACTTAACCAGAAACATCAAAAGCTAACAAACAGAAGGCTAACATCAGCTTCCACAATGAAAAAATGTAATCACTTTACCAATATTTGTCAGCTTTTTAATATGTTGCAGTTTCCTTTCTCTTTCTAAATAAATATTCGTTTTTGTGCCTTATTGCTAATTGTCTTCATTTGGGTTGTTATAACAAAAATACCATAGACTTGGTGGCATAAACAACACGTATTTCTCATAGTTCTGGAGGAAGTAAGTCCAAGATCAAGGCACCAGCAGATTCTGTGTATGCTGAGGACATTCTTCCTATGTGCTCACATGGTGGAAGGGACAAGTGAGCTCTTTGGGTCTCTTTTATAAGGTCACTCATCCCATTCATGAGGGCTCTACTTCCTGACCTAATTGTCTCCCAAAGGCCCCACCTCCAAATACCATCACATTGGGAATCAGGATTTCAACACACGAACTTTGAAGGAACACAAACGTCCAGTCCATAACAATATTCATAATTTAGTATTGAAAAAGAAAAATGTAAAATTTTCCATAAGATTCCAAAAGTTCCAAGACCCATAAAACCTGGATCCTTCCCTGTGAACAGTGATTGCCTTCACTTCTAGAAAGAATACAGGACTTCCTGACCAAACTCTGCGACCTCGTTTACCCCCTTGAACAGTAATCCCAGAAAACTAATGAGAAATCTCCTTATTACACGAGAGCTTGGTTTTTATGCTGTCAGAATGCTGTTCCCCACCTTACTCCACCAAGATCTGTCTTTCAGCTAGTGGGACAAAATTTTTGGAAAACAATTAAGCAGGATGTCCAGGGAAGGTGGATGACATATTTTGAGAAACCATCAAGAACATCAGGAACAGCCCTAGCAATGGAATGTTCCAGAGATAGGACACTTTGTACTCGATCAGTTTAGAGCAGGGACTCCAGACCTAGAGGGTCCAGAGATCCATTGTATGAGACTATGAAAATATTGCCAGAATATAAGTAAGTGGGCTGTTGGGGTTTTTTTCCCATTGAGATGACTGAAATCCAAAGAGTTTATAATCTTCTGATGTGGAAAGAAAACCAACAAGAGAAGGCAAGTTCTCTCAAGTAAATGTAAGAGGTAGAGTCTAAGGACAAAATAGCCCGGGTGAGGGTCCTGGCTCTGCCACTCCCAAGTGAGTGATCTCGAAGGTTCCGGAACCTCCCTGTTCCTCAATTTTCTCATCTGTAAAATAGAGATAATAATAGTGTCTATCTCATCGGGCTTTTGGGAAGATCAAGTGAGTGAAATATGTAAAGCTCTTAGAACAATGCCTGGCATATAGTAAGTGCTACATTCGAGTTAGCTATTATTATTGTTATTTTGAAATTTTTCCAGGCATTTGGAACAGAGTTCAAAATTTCTTGCTCCCAACTATAAATCAAAATAGAGATTCGACTTTTGGAGGTAGGTAGAGATGAGGCATTTTGCTCCTGAAAAAAAAGTGTGTCTGGAAAATAACTCCTATTAATAGATAAGGGAATAAAAAAAATTAAAAAGCAACAACTCGCACGGATTCTATTAAAATATCAAGGTTTAAAAAAGAATTTCAATATAAAGAAATTTAAACAAAGAACATCCTTTAAGATATATGTTTGGCTAGAAAAAAATAAGTAGAAAACAATTTCTAATTCTCAGAAATTTTTTTTAAAACTGCTTTTATGAAACAAGTAAGGAAACCAGAAAAAGAGCATAGACTAGTTTAAAAATAAAACAAGGTACAATGTATTAGAGATGAGTGGGATAAGAAATAATTTCATGGAAACTGAAAATACAACTGAAAAGATGAATATTAATTCTCTTTGGCAGCCATTAGGAGCAGAAATGGCATTGTAGAAAATTGAATCAGGGAACCAGACAAACTTGAGAGGTTTCCCATAAGGCAGAAGGAAAAGACAAGACAAGAAAATAATGAGGAATACAATAGATAATAGGAAGAAATAATGAAGATACAAATTAAGACAGTTTTGTAATGACAGTTGTTCCTGAATGAGCAACAGGATAATTGGATCCAAAACAATAATAATAAGAAACATAATTAACATTTCCTTAGCTAAAAATCAAATAATCAATTAGAAAAACATGAGCACGAAGACAGAGTTGAATCATCATATACCAGAATGAAAATAAATCCACACTTAAATCCACACAACTTTTTTCTTGTAATTACAAGGGTAAAAGAGAAATTTCTATAGGTATTCAGGATTAAAAATAAAAACACTAAAAATGAAATGTAAAAAATAGAAAAGCTTGTTATGTTCGAAAGAACAAAATTTACCTGTGCTTAGACTACCTTCTGCAATAATGATGTCAGAAAACAACAAAGCAAACTCACTTGCTATTTGAAGATAGCAAAATTGTGTATCTAGAAAACACAGGGAAATTAACAGAAAATTTATTAGGGAAAAAAAAAAAGAGAATTTAGGAAGCAAAAGGGCTGCAGGATGGCCACCCCAGGTTCACGCTGTTTTCATCCTGGTTAATCTGTATATTGGTTAATGTGCCTACAGAATCATTGAAAATTGGCTGCGGTTTTTGTTTTAGCCATAATTTGAAATTATCCAATACCTCTTCTCACCACCCAATCCCTTTAGTCACATTATATAATGAAAATTAAAGTACTCCCTCTCTTGAGAGTTCTTGGTATGTTGACAAAGACTGATCATACACTTTTTCCTCAAAAAAAACCTCAGTAAATTTCAAAAAGCAGAAATTATCATTCATAAGGTTTGATACTAGATAATAAAACTGGAAATTAAATCAAGATTGAACAAAAATAATAACAAAAGCACCCAGAAATTAAATGACTGCTAACTAGCTCTTGAAATACTTCAAGGATTCACATGTGACCTGTCTGAGGAGAGAAATGTCTCAGACTGTCTTATTCTCAAGAGAACTGCTTCACTCTGGCCAGCCACCAGCCTCAGCACATCCTGTCTCCCCAGGGATCAGACAGCTCTGGCCGGGAGGCCATCTCCGTCTCTCTGCCAGGCTGGTGATTGATTATACATCTTCATTACCTAATCAATTTGCATGGTGAATGTGGAATGGATTCAGCAGTCAGAGGAAGAAGTGGAAAAACAAGTCTGTAATTATTTGGGATGTGATATGACTCAGGTAAAAGCTCTGTTTTAAGCAGCAGCATCCTAAGTCTATAGCAATCCTATCTGGCTCTCCAAAGAGGTATGCTTCTCTTCCTTTCAACTTGACGCAGAATGCTTGAACCCTAGAAACCTTCTTTGTGGAGAGAGATCAGCAGCCAGTCACCCCCTCTTCACCAGATGTGAAGAAGAAGCATACTGTGTTGGCCCCTCTACTTCTGTAGAAAGATGAGATGAGAAAACTTAAAGAGGAATAGTTCAGGAAGGGTTTAGGGGAGAAAGAAATGTACAGAAAGCCGGAATTGGATTTCGGAGAAGAGAATTTTTTACAGGCTAATAAAAAAATTTTAAGTTATTCTGGTGTTTTAATTCTAAAGGGTGACGCTTTAAATAAGAACAAAGATGAGCAATGGGGCTAGAGAGATCTTCCCAGGTGGGTGAGCGAACTGTGGCTGTCTTAGGTGCCCCTCCTTTGTTGTACCGTAATGCTCCGTGCTTGTGCCTTAACCCACTGCAATGTGGTTGTTTGAGCGTGTGTGTCTATTTCCATTAGACTCAGAGACTCACAGGCAGGCCACCTGCCTGTCTGTTGGTTGTACAGTGCCTGACGATAATAATTGCTTGTTGAAAGAATAAATGACATGGCTGTATGGATGAGAATTAGTGGTCGTACAGATAGTCGAAACTCCAACTGAGGGCAAGCATCCCCTGAGAGCTGGTTACACAGACTTCTTTGGATAGCTTCAGTGACAAAGAGCACATTACTTGTAAAGGCAATTTGGGTAATTTAAGTAATTGGGTAATTTAATTTATTAATTAAATTACCAATTGCATAATTTAGATTATTAGAATATATTAAATAAGATCTCCTTTCTTCTATGGATTTTACCTTACAAAACAAAATGGAATATGCTGACTTCTGCGTATCCCCTCTTTAAAATCTAATTTCTGCTACATCCATCCTCTTTGTCATTATTATCATAAGCAACTTACAGATGCAGAAACTGAGGCTCAAATAAACTAAATAACTTGCCCAAAGTCAGAATGCCAGAGTTATGGCTATTCTGAGACTTGAACTCAGTTCTCTTTGATTCCATTAAATAAGAGCTTAACCAGTCTGCTGTACTGAAAATAACTACAATTCCTTAAAATTAACCTTTTAAAAAGTGGCTTCTATGGCACTTATTATCTCAAAATCCTTTCTCCATATTTTGTCAGTATCTCTCTCAAAATGCAGCCCCAAAATAAACAATGTCCCCAATGTTATCTGGGTAGCACAGATTGCAGTGGGATTGTTACCAAATTTGACTGGTTCCCAAGAATTCCGTTTCAGTAAAATAAAATTGTGTGGATGTTATCAAACTTATATTTATTTTGTGGTAAACAAAAATTCCAGATTATCTTTACATGAATTGTTTCAAAGAAAGGTTTTCTAATCAAAACAGTTGTAAAATTTACTATTTCAACTAAAATGCTAGATGATTTATCTTCGTTAAATTTCATCATTTTGGATTAGGCCTGCCACAATCATTTTAAAACTTGATTCTGACATCTATCATATCTAAACTTTATGTCATCTGCACAATTGATAACCATATTTTCTAAGCATTTAGTCATGTCATTGCTAAAATATTAAAAGGACAAGATAAATCACAGAGTTTAGCAATATTCCATTAGAAATGCCCCTGAATTATAGAAAGAACTAAACATCTCTGGAGAGAGTGCTCAATAGTTTGCAGGACAATATTTCAGACCATATTTCACCATATTACTAACTAGCAAATAAAAGTCATCTTTGTTTAAATGCCATATAGAAATCATTATACCCAACATGTCAACCCTATCAAAACAGGCTAATTTGATCTGAAATATGCTTAGTTATTGAATCCATATTGGCTCCTGGTAATCACATAATCTTTTCTATAGGCTCAGAAAGCTTATGGTTAATAATATGTCTTGGAATTTTCCAAGGAGTAAATATCCGTGTGCTTGAGAGTTTTGTTTCTGGAAAAGGAAACCACGATCTTTCAGTGCAAGGTGTGGTACAAACACACAATGATATTGTTTGCAGTACTATGTTTTTGGATATTACATGTTTGTCTCCCATTTTTCTCAGCACACGTATATCCTGGTCATTTCATTAACTTCACAATTACATGAGCCTACATCTTATGTGTTTGAATATTTTGAAACTCTCATAACATTATAAACAATGTCACAGTGTTTTAAAACTAGAAGATAGACCATGTGTAGAATTGTTTTAGAAATAGATCCTTAATATTACCAGAGCAATATGTCATTTGGAAGACAGCTTGTCACGTCAAATCTTCCTGATGACTGATTATACTGTCTTGAATATTCTTCTAAAATAATAACTCATCATCTCATAGCACTTACTTTATTCAAAATCTATATCTCCTCTACAATAAAGATTTCCAAAAAGTTTCCTGTTCAAAAGTATGAATTTTACCCGATATCATACTTTAAACTTTCCCATGTGCGCCCTGGTTTCAGGATGCAGAGATTTGTAAAGGCTCCATTTTACATTTTACAATTTAGTTGATTTTGATCACATATTATCTACTTATTTCAGTCTGTCTTTTATTTCTTTTGAAACAGTAATTGGTCTGCTCTGAACGTTCTCTGGATCTCCGGATTTATTGCACATTTCTCAGGTATGTTGAGCAGGCATTCTTGACGTTCTCTCCCAGTGACTGCACTCATGACTTGGCCTGTTGAGTCAGCCCCCATGCAAGGGGAACCTGAATCTCACTGCAGTTCCGTCAGGGTCCACATGATGGTGGCCTTGTCTCCACAAACCGGACTTCAGGTCCCTCCATGTGCTAGAAGTTTATTGGTCTCAACTTCAAGCTCCAGTAACAAAGCAGTCGTCACTTGCCAGATCCCTCGTCAAACGGATGAGGTTCTCGGCTTTGGCTCCACAGCCCGTGGCTGAGACGCAGGGACCGTGAGCTGTGTGATGCTTGCAGAAGAGCAGCAGAGATACCTGCATACTTTCAAATGCTTCTTATTTACACAATTGTGTTTTGGTCTTGATTTTGATTTTTCTGTCAAATATTTTTCCAGCACAATTAAGATTTTGAGGTTGGAGGAGGAAGATGCCTAATGAAAACTTAAATAATGCTACCATCTGAATGGAGCTCTGCAGTAAGTGTAAAACACACACAAGATTTCAAAGATTTTATATGAAAAAAGATAATATAAAATTATTATGCTTATTTAATATGAAAATGATAATTTGGAGTGTATTTGGTTAAAGTATATTATTTAAATTAATTTCACCTGTTACTTGTTAATTTTTAAAATGTGTATTGCCGAACATAACAGGAAAGAACTAATATTAATAACTAGACTAATACTTTTTAAGCATCTACTAGATATCACAAATAGTGCTAACTACATTTCAGAGGTTATTTCACAGCAACTCTTTGAGAGAGGTAATATTATCGTCACTATCTTGATTATAGGGAAACAGGTTCATTGGGGTTAAGTTCAAAGTCACACAAGAATTGAAGAAGCTGGGATGTTAATCCAAGTGGTCTAGTGGCACTATTCCCAAATCCATTGCAGATCGTACAAAGAAAATACTTCTATTTTTGACAAAGAGTGAACCATC